TTTCTGAGCGAAATATTTCGAATTCGATTGTATAAATTAAAAAAAAATACACATCTGTGTATATAATAAATATTGTATAAAGTATATTCTATCAAATAAAGAAAACTTTGTGATTAGAAATTATGAAAGGAGCACCTCTATTGTTGACTCAATTAATTTATTAATTCATTTAATTTATTAGTATTCTTATACTACATACAGGAGGCATATTACAGACTAGGAGCAAAGACTATAACTTTTTTATCTATTTCTTACTACAATTTTGGATTGGGGCCGAAAAACTTTTCCCATGGAAAACGATAAGTCGAGTTGTGGCCATGTATGTTATCTTTTACAGAAGATTCCCACTTTTGGTTAAAGTCTTTCAATTCATCTGCAATTAAAATTTTCGTATTACTTAAATTATAGCAAGAATAAGTACGGTTATTAAGGACAGTATTCATATTCAATTTTGTTTTAAGTAACGTCTTAAGATTGGCTTTTGACATCTTAAGATTATATTTAAGACAGACTTAAATATAAGAATCGACCACGAATATCCTGAGTGTTATAAAAATATATAAACTGTTTTCAATTTGAATGCTCACGCATTGTAAGCTTTATTTTATTTTTATCGATCATTATATGTGGAAAGAAGGAAGAATAAAGCTTATGAATGCGTGTGAGCATCCCAACCAGAACATAGCTACAATGTTACATACTTTTGGATATATACAAAAAATTAGATCTTAAATGTACATATACAACCTTTTAAAAAGAAAAAAAATCGTTTAAAACATTTCAAAATTAATGTAAAAGAGATTTTTTTAACAGACTTAAAATCTGATACTCTTTTCATCACTCAGTAGATAATATTAATGAAGTTTACAAAGAAATTTTCTTTTATAACTAGATTTTATAATTACACAATCAAATTTGCTTATTTGCTTATTTGTCACATTAATTTTCAAATAAATGTATAAATAATTTTATAATGAGTACAATATTAGAAACTATAACTTATACATATTTCCATTAATAATTTATTAATTATTTTTTAATTAAAAATTTAATATATCTATCATACATACTTTCATCCATATTAAATAAATCCTCAGATCTTGTTTCAACGCCATTTTTATCTCTTTTTATAGTAACAACATATGTTTTGTTATTTGCTTCTTTTGAAATAACTGTCTCCTCATTGCCTTCATTGTCTCTGATTACTTGCTTTTTCTCAATAGTTCCATCAGCTCTATGTATAATCTCCTTTCTAACAGATTTTCCAATTGAGAAAGTTGATATGAAAGGTTTTGTTATTTCCATATTTCCTTTATTCCACATTTTTGAAAATTCTGCAGGCGACCTATAATATGAATTGTAAACATGATATGGATAATTATTGCGAAAAGGTTAAATCTTACCAACGATTTTGATTTTTACATATAAAGTCGATATAATCCTAAGTCATGTACACTGAATCACGTGGCAGACTTCCAGTTTTTTAGATACGACACTATTGATTAAACCTTTTTGAAAACCAACTATTTGTTTCTTTTTTATCAATTAATTAATTTCATTTTATTCTATGCATAAAAAATATTAAGGTACGATTATAAAAAATGAATAGTTTCTGATATTTTATATTTCATGTCAGAATATATCAAAATAGAGTATAAAATGTCTTGTAAAATGTATCATATTAATTTTTTTATGAAAATTTTGTTTTAATATTCAAAATAACTAAATGAATCATATTTAAAAAACATTTTTAAAACGGCGGTTATGTTGCTTCGAAAAATCGATTTTCTCAAAAATTAATTTTATCAATTATATGTTGTAATTTATTTACGATTCTCATAAATAAGTCATCCTTATATTAAGCACTTATATAAGATGCAGTAAACAATTGAAGAAAGGATAGAATCATTATTACCTTCCATCTAAATCTGTGTCTACTTTTTTTTTAATTTCATCTGCGATGGCAAATGTATCAGGCTCGGATTTCAACATTCTGTCCCGCAAATTGTCATTCTTCTCAGGTGCAGCAAATGTAATAGCCCTATCGTCTATAATAATTCTTTTACTTTAGAATATTTTAATAAATAGAAACAGTCTTTAATAATCAGAATAATATTCTTTAACGCTTTATTTGCAAATGAAGCATGCAGAATGACAAATTTTCCATCAAATAAACGTACCAAAAAAAGTGTTGTTAAATTTAAAAAAATTTTTCAACATATTATCTATTTGGGACTCAAAGAAAAACATCATTTCGAGTGGATTGCTAGAGATGCTGAAATGCAAATTGTTCTCAGGGTGCCTAGAAAATATCAAAATTAGAATCAAAATTTATTGAAATATCTCTGAATATACAAGTTTTCTTTACCGAAAGTTAATTATATCATCATCATCATCACCATCTTCATCACTCTGCCAAATTGGATTTCGAAAATTTTCTTGATGTGAATCATAATCGCCAAATCTGAAAAGTATATTGATATTACAATCTAAAATTGATGATGCAACTCCTACAAATTTTTATTAGAATTCTCTATATATTTTTCTAATCAAATTTTCTACAGGCAATGGATCGCGTTGTGTTGAAAATTTAAAATATCATATAAAACTATATAAAAAATTTTATTTTATATTTATTTTATATTACAATTCACTTAGTGCTACAAATGTGCTACAAAAATAAAAACTTAACTTTTTTTTTTATTAATTATTTAGATTACTAATTACTTAGACTATTTTTAGATTTTTAGATTTACTATATTTATTTATCAACTATTAGGATATAAAAAGGCTTAAGGCCTGGTATTGACAATAAGTAAGGTTTTTGCTCCCCATGGGAGTTATTTCACACATATATCGTATGATAGAGTAGCTCCTAATACAGGGAAAATTCATACAAGAACTTTTAAGAAGAAAAAAAAACATTATTCTATCAATTTTAACATACAGAGAGTGACAACGATACAACAACATTTGTGTTGACTTGTGCTATCATATGAAAAGTATACCCTACTGAAAGTACCTGCTGAAAGATCTACAAGTAGAAATATGTATAAAAACCACTAGTACTAAAGAGATTTAAATATATAATATAGTTTACTATAGATATTTTCAGCACTGGCAGTGAATATCGGAACGGCCAGTTTTCTCCGGCTTAAAAACCAAAGATTTTATTTCTCTTACTGAAGACCAATACTTTCAAAATGATTATTATATTGCAATGTTCTTTCAAAAAAACATAAAAAAATGAGTCACGAAATGTTTTCCGTCAGCCAGAAAATCGAAGATTCGTTTAGAAAAATTGTAATCTCCGATCGAAAACCGAAAATCTGGCAATCGAGAATCGTCGATGAATTTTCTAACCTTTCAATATATCACCTTTAGCATTTAATTAATTGTTTTTAGAGTACAGAATGGCGATATTTGTTTTTCAAGTCTTCGTTTTTACATAAAAATAAATCAGAGTCTACTTTTATCAAAATGTAAGAAGGACCTTATTATTTATATGCATAAAATATAATATATATATAAAATACATATTAATATTTTTCATGTATCATAAGTTCAAGTCTTTTACCTGCTTGTACTAGGCTCATTATGACGTGTCACGCCAAAAATTTTTTGAAAAAAATCGAAAAATGACATTCTTAAAGCAATTAGAAGTGCACAAATAACTGTCACAATAACGCAACAAGCAGCATAACTTGCATATTTAATATTTATTAGTGTTCACAATCGGCATACGAATAACGCGCACGGGAATCAAGTACACGATGTGAACTAGGCCATTGTACGGGTCATTGGTTGGATCTATGAGCAACAACCAATCATATTTCATTTGCTCGGCGAGCAGTCTAGTGTGCAGTAGGCATAAGAAACTGATAATGTAGTACGACCGACGAGATACTATTAAAGACAACCCTGGGCAAATTTTCGGCGGTATAAAGAGGGCTCCAACGGCCTGGAGATAATTGAAAAATGCTGACATTATCGATATAATACAATCGATATAAATTTGCTATTATTAACATAAATATTTGGCTCACACATTATTAAATTCATGATTTTTTATTACATAAATATTCCATAAATAAATATGCATACTTGTAGAGCTATAATATCTTATATATTGCAGTAAAATTACAATTTTTTCTCTGCAGTTATCATCTCTATTGATAATAAAACTTTGACGATAGCACTGAAATCACAATTTTAAAGAAAAATCGAGTATTATTGATTTCTAAATGCATAAATACGTCTATTAAACTAATAAATCAAAAAATTAGTACAATATTATCAGTTTTTAACTCTTAATTATTTCAATATTTATAAGGACGAGAACTTCCGTAAGGATGTCAGTCTTTAATAGTATTTCGTCGGTAGTAATACTAATTTCATGATTTATTAATTTCGTACATACACTTATATGTTCAAAATTTAATAATACTCGATTTTTATTTAAAACTGCGACTTTAATGTTATCATCCGAGTTTGATTATCAATGCAGCCGATGATAACTTAGAGAAAAAATTAATTTCTCCGCAACATATAAAATATTAAAGCATTAAAGCATTAAAAGTATGCGTACTTATTTATGCAGCATCTATATTATAAAAAGTCATAAATTTAATAATGTATTATCCAAATATATTTTATATGTTAAAAATTGCAAATTTTTATCGATTACTGATAATATCATCGTTCTTCTATTATCTTCGGAACTCCATTAATAGTCAAGAATGTCAAGATGGGGGACTCCATTGATTGTCACGAAAATTTGCCCAAGGCCGACTGTTTTTAGTATCTCGTCGATGTCATTACTGTTTATATAGGAACACAATTGGACACAATTGTGAAGATCGCGGACAAACGGTAGTGATGTTTGCGTGAAAATATCTTTTGCTTTTATTATCACATTCTTCCTCATATATATATATATATATATGTATATGCGTATATACCTATAACGGTGTAGAAGCGAATACACGCGGGTTGTGGTCGATTAGAAAAAAAAAAAAAGCGCAGCGAGCGTGATCCGCTCGGTTCGGTGATAGTAGTTGCGCATTCCGGCCGGTTACGCCTGTCCGAGAAATGCGGTTCTGAATCGGCGACGGTGCGGCGCGGCTTGCGAGTTGCGCTCATTGCGCTTTCGCGGGGTGGGTGGCGACGGACGAGGAGGAGGGACGCGAGTCGTCGGTGTATTCGGTATTGTCAGCGCGCGCGTTCCCGTTTCCAAAGTACGTCTCGTCAATTTGTTGCCGAGACGGCAGCTGACAGCAGCAAGCGAGAGTTTACGCTGCCGGACTCCGGCGGCAGAAGAGAAGCAAAGCAAGCGAGGCGAGGAAAGTAAGGAGGAGAGAGTGAGAGCGAATGAGAGAGGTAGGCAGGGTAGCAAGATGGCGAGCTCCTTAACGTGGTCGTGTTGCCTGCGTTTTAAATTCAGCCCGGAGGAGATTGAGCAGCGTTATAAGAGCCAGGAGATCGACCGGATGCTGGAGAAGGATCGGCAGACGTTTCGCCGGCAAGTGAAGCTGCTACTGCTTGGCGCGGGAGAGAGCGGCAAGTCGACATTCCTCAAGCAGATGCGGATCATTCACGGTATCAAGTTCGAGGTAAGGACCCCGAGGAGTTCCATGCGCGCGGCACCACGTGATGGAATCGGTACTGTCTCGCAATCTTTCGAATTATCGGTTCGATTGATCCTACGATCAATGCCATCTTATGTACGACACCTGGCTTGTATTTAATTAGCGGAGTATTTAACCTTCATATAACTTACACATTAAACGTATCTATTTTTTGTATCCTATTTTTTTACTATAATTGAGCATAGTATTTTATTTGTTGAAATCTGCATTGTGGATTTTTTGCAAAAAGAATGAAGTAGCTTATTGGCCAATCTTTTCCGACGAGAAGGTATGTAAAATACAATAGCAGAGTACAAAGGTATTCCTAAAATAAAACGCAATATATATCTGTGTGATTTCAAATTTCAACTACTTTATTGACTTGTATACTAATGATATTTAAATTTCCATTTTGATAATTAATTCTTGATTTAACTTTTTACTTTTTTGTAGTTAACAAATAAGTTAAATCAAGGTTAAAATTAATCTACGTTAGTAGAAATAAATATTAGTCAGTTTGTTTTGCCAACCAGAGTTCTATGAGTCTAATGAGCTGATAGTTGGAAATCTTAAGTAGTCATAAGTCTTAAATAATGAAATTGGTCAATAATGAAATTGGTCAACTTGTACAACTAAAGGTCTAAGCATAAAAATTGTTGTAATATTTGCATAAATTTATGTTGCAGACGTAAGCAACATACAAGCTTTAGCATATGACATATAACTTATTGTCATCTCTTGGAAACACGGCAATAAGTTGTACGCCATATTCATGTGTTACGTCTACAACTTAATAAGTGTTACTACAATTTTTGTGCTCAGATCCTAAGGTTAAGACTAGTTAAGAATTTTGATTACTGAATCATTGTAGAATCTCCTTATTCTAGAAAAGAAAAAAATATGTTAAATATGAGTAGTATAGTGAATAAATAATACAGTGTGCATATGTGTAATAAATTATGTATAAAACATATAAAAAATAAAAAAAGATTACGAATAAAACCATGGGTTGTAAAAGAAGCATTGATATCGATTTGACATGCGACATTTTCTGTCATATCTCAAATTCTTTATAAAGTAATTTATTATTTAAAAATGAGTAAAAATTCCGAAACTGAAACTCATTTTAATCAGAATAAATATTTTTCATCGAAATTGGCACACATTAATTATAGATAAAAGTTGCACTTGTCACTAATTTTGTTTTAAGCATCAAGTATATTGTTTTTGATACTTAAAATTATTACACTACAAAGTTACATTATAAAAGCCTAAATATCATATTGTTTCTTTTATAAGAAATATTTGTCAGAAAATTAGAATTAATATTATGTATTATATATTTTTTCAGCCTGAACTAATTAAGGAATATCAACATGTAATCTATCAGAATATAATAAAGGGTATGAAGGTTCTAGTAGATGCACGGGATAAACTAAATATTCCTTGGGAGAACTCTAAGAATTACGATATCGGTTTTCAATTACTCAAGTTTGAGAATACCATGGTGTTGGATACTAGATTATTTCTGCATTATGTGCCAGCATTGCAAAGTTTATGGACGGATGCATCGATTAAAAGAGCATTTGACAGGCGAAGAGAATTCCAATTAGTAAGATCTTTTCCTTTCTCTTTTCTTTTAATTGCACAGATATGATTCTTATGCATGCGTTCGTGCAACTGATACAAATGTAACAATTGTTTATTATTTCTTTATTATTTTTTAACTTATGTGTTGTATTTATATGTCTGATTTGATATTTCCAGAGTGATTCTGTCCAGTACTTCTTAGATAATCTTGATAGGATTGCAAGAGTGGTAATACATTTTACAGTTTATAATTACAATAATTAATATATATATTTTTATTTAATATAAAGTGTAAAGAAAAATGTGTTTGTATGTATGTTATTTTTAGTTTTTATTATTGTCTATAAAGTATATAAATATTTTTTAGGATTATACACCGACACATCAGGATATTCTACATTGTAGAAAGGCGACAAAAGGAATTTCCGAATTTGTAATACCGATTAATAATATTCCATTCCTCTTTGTTGATGTTGGCGGTCAAAGATCTCAAAGGCAAAAATGGTACCAATGCTTTGACTGCGTGACGTCTATACTTTTTCTTGTATCATCATCGGAATTTGATCAGGTCTTGTTGGAAGATAGGTATGTTATTTTTTTTGTTTATTTTACAAGATCATAAAATGAATGATAATAATGTTTTTGTTTTTATTATCAATTAATCTTATAGGAGAACTAACAGATTGGAAGAATCTAAGAATATATTTGATACAATTGTGAATAACATGATATTTTGTGGTGTGTCTATAATTTTGTTTTTAAACAAAACGGATTTGCTCGATAAAAAAGTAAGGTCGCAGGATACAAATATCCGTTACTATTTTCCACAATTTGCGGGTGATCCACATTCCATGAAGGACGTGCAAAATTTTATCCTTGATATGTTCGTCTCGGTCAAAAGGGATCCAAGGAAACCGTTGTTTCATCATTTCACCACTGCAGTAGACACAGAAAATATTAAAGTCGTCTTTAATGCTGTGAAGGATACTATTTTACACCGAAACTTAGAGTCCCTTATGCTTCAATAGTGTAGAAGTGGAGTAATTAATCAGATAAAACAGCTAGTAAAACAAAGGTATGCATCAGAAATTAATACTTAATATATTATTAATCCAATTTGTAGTTTTCGAAGAATATTGCAATATACACTACGTCAAAACACATTTTGATAAGACAATATATACGTATGAATTATACAACTTTTGAATATTTACTTCATATATAGATACATTTACAGTAAAGAAGAAAAAACTGCCTAATGTAAAGATATATTTAAAAAAATTTGACTTTATATACACT